AACTAGGGGAAGGGACTCGGTCCACTTAGTATTCTCGGTAGACATTAACGAAGCTTTCAGTTGGCGGTGAAAACGCTCCACAAGTCCATTTGCTGCTGGGTGGTACGCGGTTGTCCGGATGCGTTTGCACTCCAGCAGCTCTAAGAGCTTCTTGAAGTGGGTTGATTCAAACTGCTGTCCGCGGTCTGTAGTCACCGAAGATGGGCATCCGAATTGAGCTACCCAGAGTTCCATGGACACTCGGCAAATGGTTTCCGCGGTCGTGTCGGAGATGGGAATAGCTTCTGGCCAACGAGTCAACCGGTCGACACATGTCAACAAGTAACAGTGGCCATTTGATGGTGGTAGAGGACCCACTATATCTAGGTGTACGTGACTAAAGCGAGCATCGGGTGTGGAGAAGGAACCCACTGGAGTGGTGTTGTGTTTGTGGACTTTAGCTCGTTGACACGGCACACAGGCACGTGCCCAGATACGCACGTCGCGATTTATACCAGGCCAGACAAATCTAGCTGACACTAGTTTGTCCGTTGCCCGAATACCTGGGTGGGAAAGGTTGTGGAGGCTACCGAATACCGTACGGCGCAATGAAGGTGGAACGATGGGTCTCGAATAACTGGTGGACAGATCGCAGAGGATGGTACCCTCGCTATTAACAAGCGGTATACGCTTGATATGCAAGGAGGTATTTAACGAGAGCTTATCGAAATCTAACTCTGTAAGCCGACGTTGCGCCATTTGTTTCAGGTCAATAGTTGGCGGCGCCGACATGGTACATATCCTAGACAAGGCGTCCGCCACAGCATTGTCAACTCCCGAAATATGTCGAATTTCCGAAGTGAATTGTGAGATATAGTCCAAGTGACGCAATTCGCGCGGAGAATATCTATCTGTAGTAGTGTGGAGGGCGTACGTCAGGGGCTTGTGATCGGTAAATACTGTGAATTTCCGACCTTCGACAAAATGGCGAAAATGTTTGAAAGCCGCGTATATGGCGAGGAGTTCTCTGCCAAAGGTGCTATACCTCGCTTCAGCGGCGGACAACTTCCGAGAGAAAAAGGCGACTGGTATCCATGAGGTATGTACCTGTTGCTGTAGAACAGCTCCAATGGCTGTGTTAGATGTATCGACTGAGATGCTAAGCGGAAGTTGGACGTCTAGGTGAACTAGCATGGTAGCGTCTGCAATCGCTGACTTAATATTCTGGAACGTTTCTCCAGCCTCTGGTGTCATGCTGAACGTTTTGCTCTTACTCTTTAGTAGGTCTGTGAGTGCCTGTAAAATATGTGCACATTGAGGAACAAACCGTCGGTAATAACTCACCATGCCTAAAAATGTGCGCAAAGATTTTGTTGACGTAGGTTCCGGGAAGTCGCGTATTGCTTGCACCTTCTCAGGTAGCGGGCGAATTCCATGTTCATTAATGACATGTCCCAGGAAGGTCAATGAACGGACGCAAATCTGGCATTTAGACATGTTAAGTGTCAAACCGTGGGTTGTTAACCGCTCAAGAACTATCTGTAAATGCGTACGGTGGGTAGCTTCATCTGGGCTAGCCACGAGAATATCGTCAAGGTAGGCATATGCGCAATCCAATCCGCGCAAAACATCATGAATGAATCGCTGGAATGTTTGTGCGGCGTTGCGGAGATCGAACGGCATTCGAAAAGACCAAAAGGGGTGATCACTGCCGTTTCAGGAATATCGTCGGGATGAACGGGAATCTGATAATAGGCTCTTGTTAAGTCCAGTTTGCTGAATACCGTGGCACCCTTTAGTGACGACGTAAGGTCATGTATATGTTGTACGGGGTAGCGATCTGGCACGAACTGTGCGTTAAGCCTGCGGTAGTCACCACAAGGCCTCCAATCTATCCCGTTATTCTTTGGCACCACATGTAAAGGGGAAGACCACGGGCTGCTGGATGGACGGATTATCCCCATGTCTAACATATGTTCGAACTCGGCCTTTACGGCTTGTAGTTTTTCTAGGGACAAACGCCGTGGCTTTGCGAATACAGGTGGACCAGTGGTCACGATATGATGAGTGACAGTAGAAGTCGCACAAGGAAGTTTGGAAACGGGCGAGTACACTTTTGGGCCTTGTCACCATAAGGCCGGTGATACCAGCACACTCCAGGTTGGGAACTGTGATACCTACGACGCCTGCTGGTGCGGCTATTCGAGCGACCTCTAGGTGTCATCTCCTGTCTTAACTTATCTATCTCCTCATAAAGCTTAGTTATGTAAGCCACCACATCTAATTTTGATGATCCCTCAGCAGAGTAGTCCTTAGTCTGAATAGGACTAGCGGTTACGGGCATCCTGCGAACAAGCCGATATATAAATAGAATGATAACAACAAATATGATAACAAAAAAATCTGAGTAAAAACAGGGCAAATAAAATTTGACAACTCTGTGTGAAAAACAAATTGCCAGTAGGAAAAAGGACTATTTACACGTTAGGCTACTAAGTAGGCAAACGGTGAAAACACGAGCTCACCACTTGTAAGAGTTAGACTTGGGTTAACTTAGACCTAAATTAACCACTCTTACAAAAAGTTCTTCACCGCTTTATGACCTTAATTGTACTCTGCCTAATGCGGAAATACTAACGAACTGAATCAAGGTAAAAAGACTTGAGATAACTAGCGTGACTGGAACAGAGTTATATTTACACAAAAGCAATATGAGATTTGATAAAGAATAAGAGGGTATACACTTATCTGCAGTTGAGACGGTGGTAAGCTCGGGGAGTGTGCTGGATGAAAGCACAGTGAGAGCGAAACCGTACAGGAGATTCACGAATCCAAAGAGGAAGTGGGGTTAAAGGTCAGGTGAGTTCGTTCAAACAAAAGTTCGAAGGTACAATGTACACTACAAGACCATGGTTTATTATTCCACCTATTGTTAGGTACTAGTTGTGTCCTTGTATGGGTTTCCTGTGTACTGCTTTGTGGGTTAGTTCCCAGCAGACTTGTACCATATATCCGATCAAAATTTATTTGTGTGCCATACTGTGAATACCCTGAGTTGTTGGTGGTCGAGTTCTGACTATTGCCACCTGTACTTTTGAGGGTGGCATTGTTGTGGCGTTGGTTATCAGTATGTGCCATGGTGCTATTTCGCACGTTTTGGGTGCCAATACTATTGACCATGGGGAATGTGGGCTTACTTATACTGCCATTGTTGTTGTTGGCATGATTTGGAGTCATATTCTCCTTTTTTTACCAATGGACTTATGGCTAGGAGAGGACAGGGTCGACTTTCGGGGGATTTTGACTTTTTTCGGGGATTATTTGGTGACATGTCTAAATCTACGGTGGTAGGTGGTATAGTTTTATTGGCTATTCGATTACAATTTAGTGGCCTTTCGGTTGGTGTCGCTCTCTGAGAGGATAATTCTGTGTGGTTTGAGAGGGGTGGTGCGGTGGATTCTACGGTATCTCTCAAAGGGTTGGGTATAATTGCTGCTTGCAATGTCCTATTGTTTATTCCAGAATTAGACTCAGTGTGATAACTATATACGCGCCTTTCTATGACGGTCTTGTCCACCGTGACCTTTATTAGTTTGTAATTTCTGGCTTGCGATAGGGTGTGTTGGGAGTGGATGAATTTTCTGGCCTCTGCCGGTGTTTCGAACTGAAAACGAATAGGACAACACTTTTCATGTTGACTCTTCTTCAGCCTGTAGCACTTAGTCTTGGAGTTGGGCATTTTCGCCTCACTAAGTAAGATGCGCTGTGCCCTTTTTAGTGCCTCATTGTCCGGAACGTTGTAGACAATAGTATTTAGTTTAGCGTCGAGTCGTTTTGTTACTTCTGTAGTAACAAAGTTTATGAGGTTATCCACCTTAGATACCGATTCCGTGACAAGGTTGTTATGGTCTACAGTTTTCATGAGAATAGTTAAAGGTGTCAGTTTACAGACCTGCGACCTGATATCGCTGATCTGGTCTGATAATTTGGATATTTTGATATTGGTTTCAGAAATTCCAGGATTTACTGACTTATTGCTTTTTATTTCCCTTAACTCCGCCTTGAGTTCTCCTATAGACAACTTTAGAAGTTCTATTTCTGAAGATAGTACTGAAACAGAGCTTGAAGGCTGGAGCTTTTCGATAAGCACATAAGGTGTAGGGAGGGTTTCTGTATGAGCAGAGGGTACTGAATTTTTAGGAGTAGTGCTAATACTAGCTGTCAGTACAGTTTTATCCTCAGTTTCAGCTCGACGCTTACGACATACAGGTTAGTTATGTGGCTCAATATAACCATTTGCAAAGAGTGTGTTGCTTGATGTAGCAATCAACGACTTAAAATTAGTCATCAGATTTAAAGGGGATTGAGCTCGTTGCTTTTAACTTTGATAACCATAACTATTTGATATGAGAGTTAAAAGTTATAGGTATGGAGGTAGTAGAGTACTTGTGCAAGGATTAAAACAAGATAAATTTTATGTAACGAATCACGCAAAAATGAAACGCAAACGTTGGACGTACCGCGTATATATAAAGTAGACATAATGCTGTGTGATGCTGCTGTTACAGTTGTTTGTAACGATATCGGGAACTGTTAGCGTTGCCAGGAAATATCTCTGCACAACTCTAGTACTGTTTAAGCAGTTAATAACCAACTGAACTACAGTGAGGTTAATAATAAAAGAGAGACGGAGAAGTCAGGGATTTATCACTCAGCCAACGACAAATCAATGCAGAGAATTTAATCATATGGCAGTCTGACTACCGATTTTTCAGTTAGTTACTGCAAATACATCTAGAGAGATTCTGAAAATAACTGTCAATACAATATACACTAGTAATAATAATAATGTATATTTTCATATAAACATAAATTTACATGAAAATGCATGCCATTTTTACTGGCACGATCAAATATTTTTTTCTTTTCCTTTTTTTCTAGAACAAAATGTTGAAGGATGATATATTTTACAAACTGATATATTAATCGAAAAAATGAGTATATTAGATGCATGTATACACTCACCGTTTAAGGTGATTACTTAATGCCCTCTGACTCTTGCTAATCCGACCACATACAGAACAAGAGTATTTTGGCATACTTAAAGACGAGTTGGACATATTTACTGCAAGGGGGACATAAAAACGACTCATCAGGTAATCACCATAATCTATTGCAAGATTTATCATGCTGCCATTATTTTCAGCGCTTTTTGGACGTGTTTCTATAAACACAACAAGCGGATTAATATTAACAAATTCCTGATGTCGTAGTAACTGCATAGCAGATGCAGGAACATATGGACATTTGTTATTAGTACAGTAATTCCATATCTCATCCCAGCGACGATGATAAGTTTTCGGTTTCCATGTTAAATGAGAAATATTAACTGATGGAACTAAAGATATTTTGTCATTCGATTGCATTGGATTCTCCTCTATACGTCGGCGTTTACGTCGATTACAAAGTGGTAGTTGAGGAGGAGGATTTGCCTTCTCCACAGCCGCTGAGTCGTATTGGTGTCGTACAAGCGCCGAACCTATGCGAAGCAAAAACTTGACAGTTGGACGCAGTTTTCCTTCCTTATTCACGTCGAAGCCAGAGTGACGCGGTCCAGGTGGAAGCGTTACAGAAGCAATCGGTAATCGGGGAGTACTGTGGGATGGTAGCGAAACCCATCGATGTGTAGCTCTTAAATGCTTACGAGGGACAATCGTGTTAGCATATAGTTCGCGGTAGCTTCTGGGAGGATAAAATTCTTGATTACCGGATTCAACATCTCCATAATGCACGATATCCTTTTCACTGAAATCATCCGTTTCTGTTGTTTCAGTGTTTACAGCCAATGAAGGGCACTGATTTCTTCGTGGGACGATTGTCCTACGTGAAGGCGAAGGCAAGGTACAGACCAGCGAATCGGATCCAGAGGTAGACGTTCTCGAACTAACAGTAGATAGACATACATTGTTCTTTGGGAGTATAAGTCTTAATGAGTTGTTCGAATTCATTTCTCGTGATACAGTGGGTACATCCTGTTACCTACAACTTTACAGACAGCCTGCTTAAGGCTATTTAAATTAACTTTATTTTTTTCGGAAGAGACAATAACTATAATGGCTTTAACATTTGCTGTTTGAGAGAAGATCGGAGACAACTGGCGAAATTACGGCCTTAAGCAGGCTGTCTGTAAAGTTGTAGGTAACAGGATGTACCCACTGTATCACGAGAAATGAATTCGAACAACTCATTAAGACTTATACTCCCAAAGAACAATGTATGTCTATCTACTGTTAGTTCGAGAACGTCTACCTCTGGATCCGATTCGCTGGTCTGTACCTTGCCTTCGCCTTCACGTAGGACAATCGTCCCACGAAGAAATCAGTGCCCTTCATTGGCTGTAAACACTGAAACAACAGAAACGGATGATTTCAGTGAAAATGATATCGTGCATTATGGAGATGTTGAATCCGGTAATCAAGAATTTTATCCTCCCAGAAGCTACCGCGAACTATATGCTAACACGATTGTCCCTCGTAAGCATTTAAGAGCTACACATCGATGGGTTTCGCTACCATCCCACAGTACTCCCCGATTACCGATTGCTTCTGTAACGCTTCCACCTGGACCGCGTCACTCTGGCTTCGACGTGAATAAGGAAGGAAAACTGCGTCCAACTGTCAAGTTTTTGCTTCGCATAGGTTCGGCGCTTGTACGACACCAATACGACTCAGCGGCTGTGGAGAAGGCAAATCCTCCTCCTCAACTACCACTTTGTAATCGACGTAAACGCCGACGTATAGAGGAGAATCCAATGCAATCGAATGACAAAATATCTTTAGTTCCATCAGTTAATATTTCTCATTTAACATGGAAACCGAAAACTTATCATCGTCGCTGGGATGAGATATGGAATTACTGTACTAATAACAAATGTCCATATGTTCCTGCATCTGCTATGCAGTTACTACGATTAACATCAGGAATTTGTTAATATTAATCCGCTTGTTGTGTTTATAGAAACACGTCCAAAAAGCGCTGAAAATAATGGCAGCATGATAAATCTTGCAATAGATTATGGTGATTACCTGATGAGTCGTTTTTATGTCCCCCTTGCAGTAAATATGTCCAACTCGTCTTTAAGTATGCCAAAATACTCTTGTTCTGTATGTGGTCGGATTAGCAAGAGTCAGAGGGCATTAAGTAATCACCTTAAACGGTGAGTGTATACATGCATCTAATATACTCATTTTTTCGATTAATATATCAGTTTGTAAAATATATCATCCTTCAACATTTTGTTCTAGAAAAAAAGGAAAAGAAAAAAATACTTGATCGTGCCAGTAAAAATGGCATGCATTTTCATGTAAATTTATGTTTATATGAAAATATACATTATTATTATTATTACTGGTGTATATTGTATTGACAGTTATTTTTAGAATCTCTCTAGATGTATTTGCAGTAACTAACTGAAAAATCGGTAGTCAGACTGCCATATGATTAAATTCTCTGCATTGATTTGTCGTTGGCTGAGTGATAAATCCCTGACTTCTCCGTCTCTCTTTTATTATTAACCTCACTGTAGTTCAGTTGGTTATTAACTGCTTAAACAGTACTAGAGTTGTGCAGAGATATTTCCTGGCAACGCTAACAGTTCCCGATATCGTTACAAACAACTGTAACAGCAGCATCACACAGCATTATGTCTACTTTATATATACGCGGTACGTCCAACGTTTGCGTTACATTTTAGCTAGATTCGCTATATATTTCTCTTTTTGCTGTGAGTCTCGCACAATTGTTTCTCCAGTTCCATAAACTTAACCAATAACTCTTTCACTAATTAGTTATGGTTAGTCATACAAAAAAGCCACGAACTCAGTCACCTGTCAACGTGATGACTAATGGTACAAATATGCTCGCAACACCGAGCAGCACAACTCCCACGAAGTATGGAAATGAGGTGCACAGCTTGCCAATACGCCGCAAGCGTCGAGCTGCCGGTTCACTACCATCTACTGTGGCTGAAACTGAGGGCGAAAACTTGCTGACAAACAGCAGTAGCATCACTTCTACAAAGTCAGCACCTGGTCCTGACATAAACCTCTTCACTTCACCCTATGTACGTGTCACAAAACTTCAGATACCAAGTCCAGCTCCAGCACTTACTTCAGAAATAGAACGACTAAAGCTGTCTGTAGAAGAACTGAAGACTGAGATGCGGGACATAAGGTGTAGTAAAGTTATGAATGCAGGATTTTCAGAAAACTTGGCCAACTTATCGGAACTATCAACACAGATTAGTGATATAAAATCACAGGTCTGTGAACTTGCCCCTCTGAACATCTTGACTAAGACCATAAACCCTGGCGAACTTGACACAGAATCAGTAACTAAGATAGACACCTTGATAAACTTCATCACAACAGAGGTTATCAAAAGACTTGATACTAAACTAAGTGTGATTGTCTACAATATACCAGATAATGAGGGGTTGAAAAAGGTTCAAAGTATCTTACTTAGGGCGGCGAAAATGCCTAACTCCCAAACAAAATGTCACAGACTGAAGAAGAGTCAGCACGACCACTGCTGTCCTATACGCCTTCAGTTCGAAACGCAGACAGAGGCTAAAAAATTCACCAACACACAACGTATCCTATTACAGGACACAAGCTACAAACAGATAAAAGTTGTAGCAGATAAGACAGTGATTGAAAGGCGTGCTTACAATCGCCTTAATAAACCAAATGGCAAGACACCGCAAGCCACTAAAATAGATATAAACACTACCAACACGGTAGAACTCATAGCCTCCCCCCTCCCTAATCTCACAAAAATAGCTCCACAGAAAACGAAACCAAACGAAAGACTTGTGAGCTATAGTCTTACTCCTAAAGTAACCTCTCATCCCTCTACGGTGGATCTAGATATGTCTATGGACAGCCATAAGATGGTAATCAATCCCTCTTGTAAGCTGACAATATCCTCTCCTAACCAAAACGTGACAACGCAAATGGAACTCGGTAACAAAACAGGCCGAAATACCCCACTAGTTGCGAAGAATCCCCAACCTATTCAGACTCCCAAGAATAACTCACGCTTTAAGGTAAATAATATTCAAAAACATGCTAGCATCCAAACTAAAAACAAAAATAAGGACATAGAGTCCAAGGACAACAACGACACAACCTACTCGCATACTGTGCCAAGTCACACTAGTAGCTGGTGTAGTGACGCTATCACGCAAAGTAGTATAAGTGACAACACTCGAAGCTCAGCCACCAGGCACTCATGGTATAGAAAGCATGACACACAAACTAACTTTGGCAGATTATACGGAACAAGCCTTCTGGGAAACAAACCACAGTGCAGCTATGCATATGACGACACCCATGTAGGGTCTCCTGGAATGTCCCCACAAAACAGGCAGATTAACAAGTCATGGGCATCACAAGGTACCAAAGATTTTTTATCCAACACATCCCTGTCAACGCTAACCAAACAGCTGGTGGGGATGTTAACCCTTCTGAACCCGTACCACTAACTTCGGCCCCCTATCGGGAAGAAAACAGACATGGGCCAGTACACACGGAACTATTAATCACACCCAATGACTGTACAAGCATAGGCCAAATAAAAACTTCAACCCAAGTCTCCAACCTACCCAAGCCTAGAACTACGTCATCGTATAGTTTATCTAATAATCAAACCCATTACTCACTAAAAAAAATGGATAGTAACTCGACAGACATAGGTGAACAAACTAGTTGCAACACAGGGTTGATATGCCACGCGGAAACAGTGGATGCCGATCCACACTCGGACCTTATTGATGAGCTTAAACACTTCAAACACTACTTCAAATTTCAACTCTACTTAATACTTATTAATGCTAGATCTATCCTTAACAAACTACCGATGCTCAGGGCACACACGCTGGTATGCAAACCCCCTATAATTATTACTACCGAATCATGGTGTCACTCCAATATACCAGACGAAGAGATAAGCATCGAAGGGTACATACACTTTCGCTGTGACAGGAAGTGGTAAGGGAGGAGGCTGCCTAATATACTTCCTGAACACACTTACTGTATTACAGCTAGAAAATAGGGAACTCAATGACATGCACGACACCCTATGGGTCAACGTACACTTCAAAAGTGCTGCACTACTAATAGGATGTATCTACAGAGCACCTGGCACCTTTAGTGATTACGAGACACAACTTATAAATGTACTGGAGCAAGTATCCACTCTTCCATACGAGCATAAGATCGTATGTGGAGACTTCAACCTGCCCGAAATCAACTGGGACTAATTAAAAGGGCCAACTAAATACGACAAGCTCTTAGGGACACTGGACATTTTCGGCTGGAAACAAACTGTCACTATCCCTACAAGAGGTGACAATGTACTAGACTTAATATTCTGTCACGATATAAGCCCCCTCTCAATCTTAGTGGGTTCTAAGTTTTCAGGTAGTGACCACAAAACAGTGATGTGTGCTCTGCCACTTCCACTGAATAGCAATGCAGCTCATACCTCCACTTCACAACAAGTACTATATAGGAACTATAGTAAGGCAAACTGGACCTTAGTAGAATCAGTGCTAAGATCCTCCGAATGGAGCGAATACTTCACTACTGATGACCTCTCGAGAGCTCTGGGCATCTTCTACCATAACTCGAACACATGCTTAGATGCTGTCATTCCACTCCAAACACTTGAGCTTTCCCCATATAGGAAGTCATTCATAAAACCAAAGGATCGTATGAAACTGAAGAAACTCTCAACAAGTTACTTCAAACACCACGATTTTGGCACACTAGGTTTAATACTTAACACCTTAGTTCCATCTCACAAGCTCGAGATTTCCGTATGAGAAACGAAGAACGCATCGCAGTAGCCAGTCCTGCTAGAGTGTATGCACTCACGGAAATCTTAAAGAAGCGAATGAATCGCAAAAATCACAGCATTTCCCTCCTCATAGACAAAGGTAGACCATGCACTAATTCTGCAGACATGTGTGAATTATTTAACTCAACTTTTGCAGGTAACTACCTTAAGCCCACAGTCCGGTTACTCAATATACACCCTGCTAATAATGTGGCACAAACTCCATCTCCACACACACCAAACTTAATTAGTACTGTTGAATTTAACTATACTAACATTAAACAAACTATAAGAACCCTAAAATGCTCAAAAGGTTTCGGTACTGACGGCATATCATCCTATTTTTATAAATATGGTGGCCCTGACATCCCCTTACTACTGCTTAAAATATTCACAATGTCCTTAGAAACCCAAACTTACCCTGATGTGTGGAAAACAACGTTTATTATGCCTAAACACAAATCTGGCTCGAAAACAGAAGTCAGTAACTACAGGCCGATCAATATCACACCTATCGCATCTAGAATTATGGAGAGACTGGTTAAAGACAACCTAATCAAGCATACGCTTAGCTGCAACATTATAAGTCCGAACCAACATGGATTCCTAAAATCCAGATCTTGTTTAACATGCCACTTAGACTTCAACTTTGTGACCAGCAGTCGTGACAGACGACAACTAGTACTTGTCATCTACTTTGACATCTCAAAGGCATTTGACCGAGTCGACCATTTACTACTAATACATAAGCTGAAATCCTTAGGAATACGTGACCCACTATTAGGATGGCTTAAATCATTCTTTAACAATAGGTCCCAAATAGTTAAACTCGGATCTATAACTTCGAAACCTAGCCCAATCACCTCTGGTGTAGTACAAGGTAGTGTCATTGGACCCCTATTTACTCTATATATTGACGACATATGCGCTTGCTTCTCTCATGGGAAACCATTCATCTTTGCAGATGACCTCAAAGTAGCTTATACATTCCAATCTGATGACCTAGGGTACTTCCAGAATGCTGTAAAAAGGACTAGATAAAGTGACTGCTCGGTAGTCATTATGGAAACTCCAATTTAACCTTAAAAAATGTGGCTGGATCTGCTTCGGTGCACCCTCAATCGACATGAAATTAACGCTTCAATCGGCTAACCTAACCAAACTCCAAAGTGTCGTTGACCTAGGTCTAAGGTACTCGAGTAACCTAACATTCTCTGAGCAAGTGGCATCACAGACTCAAAAGTCGAAGATGCTCTTAGGATGCATACTCAGGAACTTTCACGAGAATGAAGCAAAGCTCATTCTGTACAAAATCTGTGTGAGGCCACCACTAGAATACTGTCCATTTATTATTAGCAGCACTCACACACGTGAGAAGCTAAGAATAGAAAGTATCCAACGATATTTTACATCAAAACTACTTGGCTACGAATGTAAGAAAGACTACATCTCACGGTGCATGATTCTATAACTTGGCCCACTCTGGACAAGACGACTAATTATAAACCTAGTATTCTTCTATAAGGTCCTACACAAAATATCATTCTCAGACAGTAAGGACATACAATTCGCACAAGAAGGCTCTTACGATCAGCGTAACCAAAATTGCACAGTGAAAATAAAAGCCTTTAAGTCAACACTCCGCGAAAACTTCTTCACAGTCATGTGTTCTAAAATATGGAACAACCTGCCCCTAGTAGTCAGGAACTGCAATACGGTTATAAGTTTCAAACGCTCTCTGTACAGACTGTTTCACTCTACTGATTATATAAATAAACTATTTATTCCTAGGACGAATCAACTATTAGTCTACTACAGTACCTAAACGCGCTTAAATACCCTTTACTACTTTAAAAAACTATAAACAAACTAGACGCATAGATGCATAAAAGACTTAGTAGAAATAAATATTTGTTAGCTAAATAACAATGTACAACTAATATGAACATATATATCTCAATCCACCTACTTTTTCTCTAACCCTCTGGTACTTTTCGGTTGTATTTGCTTTGTAGTACAAGTTGCATTGATCTACATTCCGACTGAAGATGAGAAACAATTGAAGTCACTTACTCATATATTATCCCTCAAGGTTTGGCTAGTAATGGCTCAGCATCCTTGATGAAATCCACTGTCACCATAACTAGACGCTGTACAGCATCTTATACAAGCACTGTCGACGATCTAAAATGGTCCTTATATAGCTTCCTACGTGTTTATCAACTCACTCATACGGAACAACCATGTTGTGACAAATGGCAGGCTCTGGCTGACTTGAGTGCAGTAAAACAAATCTGCTCGACAATGACCAATATTAATCTGCATTCAGTTGAATTCACATCTGGTATTACTTGCAATAAAAATGATGTCAAAATCATAAAAATAAATAAATAAATTTATTCTCATAGTACAGTACATGAGGGACGCCAGTTTACAGGCATCACCAAATTGTTACAGACATGGAACCATAAAATTCAATCACAATTCACAGGCAGTAGCAAGATATGCTTTACATGTTCGCTGGAGATTATACATACACTTGATGTTAATCCCAGTAGTATAAAACAGTCTTTTCACTTATATACAATCATTTCTGTGCACAGTTGGAATAATCTGCTAGATTGTCAGTGAGTGCAACACAACAGGAAATACAGGAGTATTGTCTTCGCATTGACAAAAAAACCGGGTCTTTGGTGGATGGATTATAAGTGCCTGGAAAAAAATAAAGCTTGAAGTCAATTTTCATACATAACTTTGTTGTGTGCAGAGTCCTCAAATTATAGTTCATTGACGTGTTATTTTGAAATCAGTGATGTGTTTATCTCATTTGATCTGCAATGTCATTGTTGGGAGTAAGTACATAAGCTTCGGACGCATTAATTAATGGATTTCTACTGCTCGTGGGTATTTTCTTAGCGTGAGGAAGGTTTATGAGTTTCAGCTGTTCCGACAGCAGTTGAGAATATTAACTGCTCAGCAACATTATTGATATAAGTTCATCACATTATCTAAGGAAAGGTGGGTAGCAGTTGGTGAGGGATATATGGTGCCCAACGAGCGTTCATCTGTCCATGTGATGTTGTGGTGAGTTGTACCTTTTTCATGTTGTCGGTTTATGTCCATTTTATTCCACTTATTGTGTTGGGTAGTGGTTTTACAAACGAGATTTCTTGTCTGTTTGAGGATACGTATCTTAACCGTTATTGTTTTATCTAGAATTATAAATATAGGCAAAAAACAACAGGTGTAGTATTTCAGCTTATACATTAAATGGACCTATAATTTCGGAGGCTCTCAGATAGGAACTAGAACTACTATCGTTTGCAAACTCTTGTAGTTTGTCATTAAGCACCTTTTTGAAGGAGGCCAATGTACTAGCTTGACGCATTTCCATTGGCAGTTTATTCCACATCTGTGCATACCTAATCAAGTAAAACTTTTGCCTGGTGGCTGTTTTACATTGTTCGATAGCTACTGTACCCTTAGTGTGACTTAGCTTGAAGCCACTGTCATCTGAAAGTCGAGTGCCATTAGTAGAGGTAAAAACTAAGTGGTTTAGAAGCTTATAGTAAAGTGTCAAGTTTAGTCTCAGGCGTCTTAGCCATGGTGTTTCTAGTCCTAGGGTATCACATCTAGTGGAGTAGTTCGTACCATTTTCAGTTACGAGTAATTTTAACGTGAAGTACCCCTGCACTCCCTCGACTTTCAATTTGTCCTCTATGCGTATGCTACTATACATGAATGAACAGTAATCAAATAAAGGACGCACACAAACCTTGTACAACAGAATTCTAGACTCATTTCTGTAGAAGTTCTTGAGTAGAAAGCCGACAAGTCTGTGTGACTTTGACACTTGTTTGGAGGTATGTTCAGAAAATGATAAGTCATGTGAATATTTCAGCCCTAGGTCCAGTGCAGATTCCAGTTGTTGAAGTGCATGGCCTTGAATTGTCAGGTCAAGTTCTAAATTGTTGCAACCTACGCAGAGCCAGCCACATTTTTCGACATTAAATTGGAGTTGCCAGGTGTCACACCATCTATCCATTTTTTCTAATTCTTGCTGTATGGCGTTTACTGTTATTCCAAGATCTGTGTTCTTGCATTTATACGTCACTTTTAGGTCATCTGCATATAGTATTGGTTTACCTACACTAAAGCATTCACAGATACTGTTTATATATATTATGAATAAGAGTGGGCCTAATACACTTCCCTGGATTGCACCACTACTTACTGGTTTAGGCCTTGAGATTATCGAGCCGACTTTCGTTGTCTGACTTCGGCCACACAGAAATGATTTTATCCAGCTCAGGAGAGGGTCACATATCCCTAGTGAGCATAACCTGCTGACTAGCAGATTATGGGGAACTCTGTCGAAGGCTTTTGTTATATCGAAATATAGTACAATTACTAGTTCTCTGTTGTCCCTACTTCGTGTAACTTCATTGAAAAAGTCTATGTGACAGGTCACACATGATCTCTTTTTGAGAAATCCGTGTTGTGATGGATTGATAAGTTCATGTTCTAGTAAGTTGTCTGACACTTGGTCTTTAACCACTTTCTCCATTATTCGGGATATTATCGGTGTTATATTGATAGGTCTATAGCTGCATACACTGGTTTTGGCCCCTGCTTTGTGCTTAGGTAATATGTATGTGGTTTTCCACACTTCAGGATAAGTTCCAGTTTCCAACGAGAGAGTAAATATTCTAAGTAACAAGACTACCATTTCCGTGCTACCATTTTTGTACATGACAGATGGTATGTCGTCTGTTCCAGTACTACCATTAGACTTCAATGTCTTAATCGCTGAGTCTATATTTTGTATATTAAAGTCTATTTCGCTTAATTTGTGGTTACTTTTGCAGGTCATTTGGAAATTTTGGGTCGGGTGCACTCTGGCGTCATTGCAAAACCACTCATTGAGGAGTTCACTTATAACCTGGGGATCATTGTATATTATACCCTTATGTTCCAAGCTGCTTACAGTATTGTCTTTACTGCTTTTTAGACGTTTCTGCAATATCCTACAAAGTTCCTGAGTTTTGGAGTTACCCACAAGCGCTTTATTTTCTTCAATTTGTGACCTCATTTTGTGTTTCTCTTCGAGCCGTTTAAGAGTTTCATGTATTTGGTTTAACGCATTAAATTCCTTAAATACATGGTATTTCCTTTTCAATTTCTATAGTTTTAGTCGCGTTTTGCGGTCTATAAATGGAGTTGGTGTCTTCAGAGCAGATTTTAGGGGCGCGATTATGTCTCTTGCTGAGCCAATTGTTTTGTAGAAAATATCAAGTGATACTTCTAAGTTATTGTTAATGGAGTATTCTTCCCAGTCAGAACTTCTCAATAGATTTGATAGGAATTCCCAATCGGCATTCTTATAGTCCCTATACTGATAGTGCACCGGGGAATTTTTAGGTGTGTGTTTAGTTGTTAGTCGGAGGGGTAGCGTGCAGTACAATATGTTGTGATCACTGTTATCAAGTTTATTTCCTACCTCTATCGAGATGGGCTCTATTTCATGACAAAGGATTAAGTCAAGAGTGTTTTCATTTCTTGTAGGGAGGCGTACGCACTGCTTCGAAATAAATCACTCATTTTAAATTAATACCCAATTTGGACATAAAGCAAGCACAAGATACGATGCCGCACACAACAAAGTTATATGGAGGAATTGACTTCAAGCTTTATTTTTTCCCAAATATTTGTAATTTATCCGACGCATACTTGGGTTTTTTGTTAATGCGAAGACAATATTTCTATATTTCTTTATGTGCTCCATTGAACGACTAACTTTCAGAATGTACTCACTAACTGATGTCAGAGAGGACAGCAACCATGTAATTTAACTATAAATCAAATTCACGTAATTTAAATAATACTTATCCATGCCTGTACAACTGATGTGTCCTACATGGATAGGAAAATGTATATTATTAAATAGAACATTCCTTCCTTTTCGAAATCCATCAATCCCATTAAAGTCATATAGAAGGTTACTCTGCTAAAATTAGACAAGAATTTTCACCTTCTCTGCCACTTACCTTATCTTATTCGTTTTACAATACAATCAAGCTGATTCTGGAAATTTATGATGGAGGTCCACCATATCATTTTGAGCGTAAATGATTTTTGATACGAAACCTGTATTATCATGCAGAACACTAACTGCACCCGTCTGCCTCGGTCAATGAAGCAGGTCTCGTAAACTGCCGATTTCTATTCTACTGCCACATTTGTTTTAATAATACTTACGTTTATTTATCCTAGCTCGCATATTCCTGATGTCTTCATATGGAATATCTTTATCGAATCTCCCATGTGCTAAATCCATGATTTCATGGGCATCAGTATTCATTTCAATAAATGGCCGCACCACTGTCATTTCTTCTGATGATTGCCGACTTCTAGATACACCAGTAGACATGAAAGTTGCTGTACATGGGTGGTTATGTACAGTTTTGTAGGTAGCTACTTTGTATCATTCAGGTGTATGTCGTAATGTCAATGTTCCCTGACATGAAATAATTTCGGACATTAAAAATGTTAAAATTTTCATGCACAGCTAGCTTGCCGTTTGTTCCTCAAGCCAGCATCTCTATGAGAAGGTTTACCCCCAAAACTGCATTCATACATAACATAATCATATTCCATGGGGCCGCATGTGTTCTTTCTACAACTTGAAGCAACCCAGTGGAACGTGTTTGATTCCTTCCAGAGAAATAATGAACAAGTTGGTCATTACTTTCATAAATTCAGCAAAAGCTTGCTTAAATTGTAACCACGTATAAAGTTTACTGACCTATTTGACAAAACGTATCAGCGAATCGTGAAAAAGCCTTCAGTTGTATGGTATAAAGCATCCGAATACTAGGGACACAACGGCTGAACACGAAAGTAGCTTCCCATAAACAAAAATGTATATTCGGACAAAAATGTGCAAGCGTACACTGAAATAAAAGTGTTCCGATTGACACAGAGATGTACAATTCTTTAATAACTGAAAATTCGTTACTCGAGGTTTCAGTAAAGTAATAATATATTTTCATTCATTTGTACGAGGTACGTCAGTTAACACGCATCATCAAAAGGTTAAATAATAGACGCGTGTGGTAAGCATAATTCTACTGACTCGAATGCTAAATAATAGGTATATAAGACAAAGTTAATGAAATAACATCTACAAAGTCACTTCACATAGGTAGAAACAACATACATAGTATCATCCTTGGCATTAACGCCATTTAAATTTAACTAGAGGTGAGCAATCATTAAA